CCCCCCCCCTCCCCCCCGAACGTGTCAGCACCTTTACTACTGCGTTTCTATCCTTCAGTGAATAACTTCAGAACACTTCTGCCTTTTGTGTAGCCCATCGAGCCAATCACCACAGCGGCTTGGAATCCGCGTGTGCAACACATTCTAGCCACTGCCAGTGCCGGACATTGTACAATATGGGATTTGCGCCGAAGCGACCCCGTTGTACATTTGACAAAAGCTATGTGTCAGGTAAGTTAAAGGCGACATTAACTCTGCTGCTAATCATGTTAGCGGACGGCCCGAGGGAACATTCTTATGTTGCGGGGCTTTGCAATTTACGTTTGAAGTCGAAGGAATTCACGAATGACTCCTGTTCTTCGTTTATAACTAAGCCATCCGCTATGATGCCCTCACATTTCGGTCGGTTTATGACGTGCAACAGGTCTTCGCATATTCACCCACCGATGTTAATCCCTTGAGTCTACATCGGTGTCTGTGGCTTGCGTGCAGCACCCTACTTGGCTCTTAGCAAACAGCCTGTAGCTCCCCAGCTATGCGCAGTTGTTAAGTGGTTTAGTCAATTTCGACTGGCATATCCGATTCAGTTGCCAGTCCCTCGTGTATGTGCACGTATATCATAGGTCCTCTAGTAGGCATCTCCACGAGATTTGGCTTGGAACTGAAAGCTTTCGAGAGATTACTACACGAACAAGACCAGACGGACGTTCTCGTCTAAACAGGGTGTAAAATTGCAATCCGACCGACCACATTGCAAAACCATTGGCTATCTAGTACTTAGGTGTTGCATACATGTGTAGCGCGTCACTTGCATAGTTTTTATCTCTAGAGAGAGCGCCGATTTGAAATAGTGTCTTCTGGGAGGGTCTTTCGCGCAACTACAGAAGCTACAAGTTACCGGTAGAAAACCCCCATTTTAGGAGGGCCATACTATCAGAACAACACCACCTTAGCATACGTTATTTCAGTAATGGTTCTTCGAGATCCAGATGCCTCACTGGCTAAGGCGTAAGTTTACTAACCACAAGGTCTGTTGTTCGAAATCAACGCCAGCATCTCGACTACCCCTGTCTGGGCTTGGGCAACTTGGCAGTACCTCAGCCCTCATGATCTCTCCGGGTGGTATGGCAGCTAGGCACCGAAAGGTTGTTTCATCCTGGGCTTAGACCGCGGAAATGCTAATTTTTCTCGAACTCAGCAACGATTTTGGTTAAAACAAAGCTGGATGGTGCTGGGGGCTTTGACTCAAGCGCGCGTCTGTGGCTTTCCGCGAAGCAAATTCGATTGTAGCGGTGATTTTTGTGGATGATCAATTTGTTATCCATATCAAGGGGAAGTCCTTATTTTACTGGTCTTGTAACGGCGAACTGTAACACTGCCCCGCTGTCTTCAGTGCTTCCGGTTGTGTTGATACGAAAAAGAGTTGTATTTAGGTACTTTTTTATAATGAAAGAAAGGGAGGCTTAACACCAGGTACCTCTTCCTCGGAGGAAACCCACGAACCAGGTTTTGGAGTCAAGGTTGATCAAATACTCTCATAAGGAACCGAACATTAGTCAGCTCCGCATGCATAATCCGTAACCACGTGTTTTAATGTTATCGAATTTTCCCCTTTGCAAGTTTTGACGGCTCTTCGCCTGTAGAAAAAATCACGCCATTGTTTTGCGTACCCTCTTGATTAAATTTGATGTGCGGCTACATGCGCAAAATGGTGATTGAATATAGACAACACCTGTTGCTGATTACGCTGAATGTGATTCTCATGTGGGGTTTTACGTGGCAAATTTGCTGACGTATCCGGGTTCACGTGGTTGGCTTGATTGAATCAGTACCAGTCAATAATTGGCGATGAGTGCCATGCAATCAACATGTAACGAAATGTGGTTTTCATATCAACCTACGGAATAGCGCTACGACCTCTCAAGCAATGGAATTCTTTCACTACGGATAGCTGTTACATCAAATTGTCAGTGACGTTACTAGATTCTGAAGTACGTTTTACGACGTCATTTTGAACCAGGGAGTGAATTCCGTGATGATCGAATCACGTTTTCATCTCTTCTTGAGTTCCACTCGAGAAGGAACGTTCTAGCTTGCATCCCATCCCTGATTATCAAAGACGAATGCCTCAGTTTTTTTATTATTTGACTGATTATTTGACTGAACAGTGATCGCTCCTCATAAAGTAGATTGGGAATAGCAAGAAAACTTGGTTTTGCGGAAACCCAGCTGAGTCTCTCGTTTATGATGTTTTTAAGTTTTGGGCTGTCGAGGAATTATCAGCAACCTTATGAGCAGTATATTACACTTATATCTGAGGCTTAGTAAGCAGTAGACTTGAATTTCACTAGAAATGTACTAGTGAACTTGTTGATGATCTCGACAAACACACTTATTTGCAAGTCAATTTGTTTTTCACGGGAGAGTCAGCTGAATCAATCATGTATGATATTCTTCAACTGAATGTTCTGCACAAAGTTCGAAGAGTTTTCAGCAACCTTGTGAGTAGCTTCCTTTATGGGTGATGGTCTGTTTTCTATGGCCTGTGCAATCATTTGGGAGCAATTATAACTAATCAGTTGAAGTGGGTCACGTGACATCCGCGGAAATAACGATGACCAAATCCTTGTCTAGAACGTGTACTAATTTCAGACACCGCCCTAAAATCATGCAATTCATCAAGGCCACCATATGCAGCAAAGTTGAATTCTTCTGAATTCTTCCGGTTGATCCTTTTTGGAATGGGTCCCCTCCTAGCATCCGAGGTCTGCTTACTGGAGCAAGACAACTGTACTGATAAAAAACAGGTGCTGATTAGTTTGCCAAGATGTGCAATGATACGAGTCTTCGAAATTCACAGTCTGTGAGCAAGGTGAAGACAGGGTGGTAGAAAATTTCAAATTTTGTCTCTCAGGTACATAAGGAAGAGGCAAGGGTTGGAAGGAGAAACTTTCTTGGAAGAACAACTTCAACCTAAGTAGCATACGCCTCAAATGAAACATGGTGACAGCCCTTGGTGTGTATTGTCTGCATGGCTCAATTCGTGTGTTCGTGCGCCAATGGAATTCTTTCTAATTCGGAAACGCATTTTCGCTCAATATAGCCATTGTACATTTTATACACAGTCAGTTTCATTATTGTTTATAATTCTAACGATAACCGTCACAAAATCAATACGTTTTTCTTTCTATTTCCATTTGTTCTTTGTACGTTATAAACGGCGAGTCGGATATCCCAACAATATAATTGCTTCTTTATTGTCTACATAGTTCGAACCACATCTGATGGCTTGGAGTCCAGATGTGGCCACACGCCTGTGCCTCGCCGACCCGGCCAATCCGACGGCAGAAATTCAACTGTGGGATCTCAGATTTCCGAAGCATATGCTCGCCCTTCTCGCTCGTTGGCCTCCTCCGAATGCCAGTCTTCTGAGTCATGCCGCTCTGGGTAACGCTGGAAGTATAAATGCGCTTGCTTGGTCTCCGTCTTCTACGCATCAGCCAACGAAACCAAGCCTATCACTGAATGAATCCGATTTGATTGCTGTGTCGCTCACAGCCTCAGGAGCGTTGCCTACTATGGATGGGGGATACGGGACCAGTTTGCAACCCACAAGCGCCGACTTTTTGACTGTTTGGAGTGTGGAAGAAGCTCTAAAGTCCGTTCAGGCAGATGCTTCATCCTCTTCGAGTAAGTATTACCCGTTTTCTGGTTCGCACACACATTTATCGGATGCGATTCGGCTAACGGGTGCTTGTTTGTCTGATCTCCGTTAGCAATGCAGCAACCTTTGTTTGTTGGACGTTTGGAGGATTCCGGATCAGAATTATCGCCGACGTCTACTTCACTCAGCGGCTTGCCAAGCAACGCGAGTGTTCATTGGCTCCCAGCGCATCCTGGCCTGGTATGTGTCACCCAATCAGAGGGGTGGATTAGCATAATAAACCTGAGCGCCGGGTCAGATGAGACAGCTCAACCGTCTAGAAGGAACTTGCAAACTGATCTAATGGCGAAGCATACTCGAGCTCGGCATGCGTCCCACAAAGTCGCTGAGGCTTTTGGCGAAGAGGTTGACTTAAGCAGCCGTACCTCCCCAACAACCCTGCGGGAAATGGATCCTCTGGCAGAAGCAACTTCCGAAATTCGACTGACCGGAGCTCCTCGCGTCGGGGATGCTGCGGATGGAGACATTTTTCAGGCTTCTACCAGACCATCTCCACTTCCTCAGGTACTATCGTTTGTCTGCTTGATTCATGCCCGTGCTTGCAGAAAATCTTTGGCTTTTGTTTAACGGGATCGGACTTTTCTGCCTAGTCCTGGCACGTGGTTTTGATTGGTTGTTCTGTAGTGGTGACCTATGTGTTGGGAGCTTGCGCATTTTGTACAGCACTCAAACAACTAGATTTCAGAAAGGAAACTACTCACAAGGTTGCTGATTCGTATACTTTATTTTGTCAGTCATTGGAGGTTTTCAGTACACCCATTTGGGGACTTGTAGGCTGTCGTCCGGATTATTGACCTGAATGTCTGAGCGATGACATGCAGATGAGTGACCGCACAACCACACTGCAGTTGTGGCACCGTCTTATTCTTGTTGGTTGGCGTTTCCTATCCAACCCACTTAGCTCAACGCATCATTCAAGAGTACGAATTTCGGCTAAATCCTTCAAAACCAAAGGAATGTGGGGTCTTCATGGGGATGAAGCTCGAGATGGCTCAGTGGTTAGGGCGCCTGCTTACGGATCGGAAGGTCCGTGCTTCGAACCCAACCTCAGCATCTCGATTGCTCCTATTGAGTTACCTATCAGTATCCCAGTCGTCATGCCTCTTTTGGTTAACCTGGCAGCTGGGCACCGAGAGGGTGCTCCGGCTAAACGATTTGATTCGACTCTTCATGGAGATCGAACGGTAAAAGTGTGAATTCAGCTAGGCGGCACAAGAATGATCTCCGCGTTATCGACACGAAGCTTCGGATGATGGCTAGGCGAGTCCACAAAAGTATTTTTTTTTAAATAGTGAAAGTTTTCAAGTTATCCTGCTCGTTCACTGAACAGTTTGGTTGTCAGCACAGATCGCATATTAAAAACAGCCGGATTTTTAGTTCTAAATTGTCCGGATCTGGAAGCCGCTTGTCTGTAGGAACTCAGGGAAAGTTAGGATCACATTATTGTAGTTTCTTGTGCAGATTTACCGTTCTAGTCAGACTTTTTCGTGCGCGCTTCAGTCAGATTGAATCTTTCCAAATCCAATGTTGCGTATCATTTTTTTCTGGCCTCTTTGTTTTGACAAATTTTGACCATCTACTTTCCAGCCCATGCCCCGTTTGCGACTGGCTCCTCGATGGTTGAAACGACCTTGCTCTGCCAGTTTCTCCGTAAGTCACGTTATCTGATAACCATACAACAGTACTCGGCACCAGGTATTATTGGTGTTCTCCTCTTGTTAACAACAGAAACCACTTGTTAAATCATAAGGCAAGAAAGAGACACTAATAAAGCTTGTGTTTTGAGAGCGTGAGGTTACAACGACTAGGTGCACCTTAATCAAGTCAAATACAATACCAAAAATAAAATAAGGTTGCCATAGCTCCTCCAAGTTCATTTGGGTGCAGGTAGTCATGTTCCTTTTGGCTGATTCACTGCTACCCGTTCCTGGTTGTGCGCAGTTTTTGGTGCGCTGAGCCGGTCCGTGTTCTGACGCGCGCGCGTGTGTGCGGTTGACCGTGTTCTGTCCTTATATATATGTCTTTGCAATGAGTGGAACGTGGAAACAATAATGTGAAATCACCTGGCGTCCTTCAAAGGTCATGGAACGGGAGTTGACACGTTGTCGTATTCATGTAACGATGTTGACGCGTGATTGCGGGACAGAAAAAATGGAATGGGGGTAGTAGGTGCCGGTGTGAAATTGATTAGAGGATTAATTAGGCAGAAGGGTAAACGTTACACGTGCTCCCCCTTTAGAGAGGGATCATATAGGCGCTGTCATCAATCCAGACAAGTTACGTCTTGTCTGGTGATGCACGTTGTGGGATGTGGAACAAAAAAAAGCATAAGGAAGACAGTGGATGTGGATGCACTAATAAGATTGGGCGACCGCTACAANATAATGTTCGTTAAAGGTTTCATTGAATTCGTTGAGTGCGAATGACGAACGAGATCGATGTACTTGAACTGTCGTAGAAAGAGGTTGATTCCGTAAATCAGCCGGTTAGCCACATCAGTCGTCGAAGACCAACCACCACGAGGAGGGGTGTATATCCCTGACTGGCTTCGAGTTGATCGAACACCAGGTCTTGGCTGACTTTATCTGCTTTAGCGGTTTCCTCTCCCAATGGACCCTCTCCCGTGAATTACTGTGGGAGGGACAATCAAAAGACAGGCGTTCCAGTTTCTCCTCATTAACTTGTTCAACTCAAGTTAGTAGACTATTCAGTGTAATTCAAGGAGCAGGGCGTTGTTGAGAATTGTGCGTACCTCGTAAGTTGTATCAGCTCCGACGGAAATGAAGTCAGCACACGCATCTCAACCGTCCACTCAGCAGTTAGAGGGCGAATTTACTGACCGAAAGGTCTGTGGTTCGAACTGGACCTCTGTTTCTCGACTTTCTTGTCTAGGTTTGGGCACCCTGCCAGTATCCCAGCCCTCGTGCTTCCTTCGGGTGGCATGACAGTTAGGCACCGGGTGCTACAGCTGAACGACTATCTCAAATTCCAAAACTCACTTTTCACCTACCGCGCATCTCCGTCGTTTCACTTTTCTGTTGAGACAAATGTTGAAAATTGATCTCCAATTGATTCATGCCACTTGGTAGCCAAGTGAATATTCTCAACCTGTATTCCGCTTTTGCTTTTTATCCGTTATATGTCTTCAGTTTGGCGGTGTACTTGTTTGGTTTTCGAACGACAAAAACCCGTCGAAACAGTTGACCCAGTCCTCTTCACCGTCTCCTTCAACGCCAGACATGACTTCGACATCAACAGCACCGGGACACCAACCCACTGTCCAGCTCCAGTGGATAGAGACTGTGAACGATTGTGACCCAGTTTCTGGTTTGGACGAGAGCGTTGGAAACAAACTAGAACTGCTTCAACGAATGATCGGCTGGTTATCCGATGCGGTTTGTCAACCGGCAACCGATCTCGGGTTCGTTTGTGATGGTCTGGAGGAACTCTGTAAGCCATCTGCAATAGAATCGGAAGGTGGGATGAAGCAAATCAGTCCGTGGAAGATTCTTCGGGTTGGTTTCAAGTTATCCGGTCTTGTCATTTCTACAACGTTCTTTATTTAGTTCAACTGTTTCTCAGATAGTCGGTTATACCACTTCGATCGATTGCACACTTACAAAGAGATTTTTGAGTCTTATGACTCCTTCTTGGAAAAGAAAGGTATTGTATCTTTCTAACAAGTTGATTTGATGAGCTGTGTAAACACTGATTTGTAGCTTGACGATTAAATTGACTAGGTGTAAATTAGACGGCGATACCATAACGATCGAAGCGAAAACGTCGGAGGGTCGGACCATACTGAAGGAGTACCTTGGTCATCGGTTGAAGGCATTGTTTCTTTTCATCTACTGAGACGAATGTTGTTATCCTCGCCTCCTTCAGGGCGCAAAATGCGAGGTGAAGAACTTATGACGTGGCAGGATATTTGAAAGAGTTTACGAGTATGTCGTTGGTACGGTTTGTCTTCCAGGATGGGGTCCCTGTCGCTCCCTCTGCACTTGGCTGGATACGTCGCACGACATATGGCCAATCTGTGTCAACGGCGTTCGTACTGTTACTTTCTTCCCAGTCGCGCTCTCTCAATGGCGCTCGTGCATCCAAGCTATTGCTTTCAATGCATAGCTCCTTTCCCAATCCCCCCACTTAACAATCCATCTACAGTGCTGTATTCACGCACTAATTTATCAGCTCCCGCCTCCAATGCGTAGCTATCTACCCCACCCCAAATCATCAGTGAACGAAACTGTAGCAGCTAGAACCACTGTACGACAAGTACGCGGCTATTACAGCTGGCAATGATGATGATGATGATGTCTGGTTGAGTGTTTGTAGATGTAAGCACCTCAATGTATGCGATAGTCCAGTACCAGGCCTGTCTCTCGTCCACTTTTTCTCTTCTCCCCACTCTAAAATTTTCAATGTAATTAGATAAACTTTGTGACCAGTGAAGCATCAGTGTCAACAGTGGATTGGCTGCCCTTGATGATGCTTAGTAGATCTCTAATTTTTTTTATATTCCTTTTTGATTGAAAACATATTGTCACTCAATTGGTTTTTATTATTCTCCCCAGTCTCGGCTACAATCAGTGGACACCATGACCACCATCATCTCTAGCCTTCTGGGATGTGATGAACAAACAGTTCGAATGCGTATTGAAACGGCCTTACAGAGTTCCACGGATTCTCCGTCTGATATGAGCTGTTTTTGTGGCTCTCAACCCCGTAAGTTGGTCTCTCTCTCTCTCTCTGAGGCACCGCTGTACACCACCAAGGTCATCCTGTTTTTGACTGACATTTCTATTTAGCATGGCTGTTTGATGATTGAATTTTGCAATTTACGTGACTAATGACAGTCAGTGCAGATTCGTGTTGTTTCACTGACCGTGTTCCTGCTTGTACGGACTGTGATGAATCAAATTGTGTCTGCAAGTTAGGCATGTGCACATTGCTTTAAGAACATGAAACATTTCTTTTCTATAGGTCGCGAAGTTGCGATTTCACGTTTGGATTCTTTGAAAATGGCACTGGTTACGGCGGACCTTCCCTCAGCTATCCGTCTTTGTCTCCATAGGTGAGTCTAATCCAGCTAAACTTCATGCTGGTTCATTGCCTGAAGTTTCTTTGCACGTAAAAATCAAACCGTTAGCTGGAGCACTGTTCTCCGACTTTTGTATGCGATTGTTGTCACTTTTGCACATCTGGTCGCGTTTTTAGAACGGAATCTTTCCATGTCAGAGAATTGGGGTAAAGATGAATGTCATATATTTTAACATTGATCATTGGAGCGTTAACGACCGATGGGAATTTTACTAGGTGGATCTAATTTGGTATGATTCTGCGTCCAACGTGACAACCGGCTCCCACCTTGACATGTTCTTTTCCTCAATGAGAACAAAACCTAAAACACGAATCGGAGTAGTCGGACATACAGCACTGAACGCCGCTAGCATATTTTCACATTTCCACATGCTCCATCTACGTGCTCACTGCCAGCCCAGCATTAGTTTACTGTGGAGAGTTGTTGGGATAGCTCAGATCGATACTGTTGAGCTATGGCAGTTCTTCAAAGCTGGTAGATTTGCATGCTTCTTGCCGACTTGCGAGGGCCTGAAGGGAAACGAACTGTCAGGAGTGCACGTACTATGGCTCAGCGTACCAATATTCGTACAGAATATGAAGAGACTCGCTGTTACAGCGCAATACCATCTCAAACGCATAAGCTGTTGGGTCCGGTCGATCCTTCTAGCCGGGTTGCTGCTGATGCCGCCTTGCGGAAGACATTGCTTCGGCCCTCACTGGATTAAGTAGTCTGGAAAACTTTTCGGAGGCGAAAAACAGTTTACGCCAAGTTACTAATGACCAGCCGTTACCACTGTCTTCCATCCAACGTAGCTTGCTGCCATTCAAACCAGTAATGCTGTTGCGTATCAAGGGTCGTCGACAAGTTCAGGTTCGGCTTGTATGTCCCAGTGCAAAATCCATGAATTCTGGTGACTGCTTCATTTTGGTCACTTCGGATGTGGTGTTTGCCTGGTTCGGTGCGTTCGCCAATGTTGTCGAGGTCAACAAAACTCGCGAACTGGCCGGTTGGATTCACAGGTCCCACGAATTGGGTTATCGTGCCTCGGAATCCATTAGTGGAAATTCCATCACAGTTCAAGAAGATTTAGCAGAACATGTGGCGAAAAGCAGCGAATCTGTTCACAAATTTTGGAGGGCTTTGGGGTATGATGAACCGCAAACGGTTCAAGCTTGTGGCGCTTCAGATGAGGACGAGTTGTACGAAATACTCATCCAACATACCAACCGAGTGTTCCAAGTCACCACCGAACAACCGGTCCCATGCATGGAACACTGGGGAAGACCATTGATACACGCTCTTTTGAAAGATGATCAAGCGTTTGTGTTTGGTTTTGGCTCTGAAATTTACCTGTGGACTGGAACGCAACTATCTGCGGAGCTCTGACTAGCTGACAGCGAGCTCGTCCATCGGATCTACTCAGCTGCTTATGACTATGGTCACTGTCGACTTAATCCATTAGATCCACTTTGCACACATGGCAACATTCCTTTGAAGGCCGAGAGCAGACCGGATTGGACGTTGATAGGACGAGTGACCGAGAAAGAAGAGACTGGTTCTGTTCAAGGAGAAATTCATCGATTGGCCCGAGGCCACCCGACTTGGTTTACGACTAAAGCCCGTTAGTAAATCGTCGGCCACCACTCCTGGAGCCTCTGTTTACTCAGCTATTCAACCATACTCTGCAGAAGAACTATGCCATGCGGCTTTCAAGGAGCCCCCACCTTCTCCTCTGTTACTCACTTTGGAGGGTCGCCTTGTTGGTCGGGGAGGCGAAGGCTGTTGATATGAAGATGGTATTGTGCTCCGATTCCGTGTAGAATCAGGTTTGGTGCGTGTCTGGCACGTGTCCGAATTCAACCGGGTTGAGCTAAGTGAAATTCGCCATAGACAGTTTCACCAAAGCGACACTTATGTAGTCCGATGGCCTTTCAAAGTTATCCACGTCGGCCTGCGAAACATCGCATCACGTTCCGCGGACAGTTCTCGTGAACAGTGTGCCTACTTTTTCTGGCAAGGGTCACACAGCAAAGTCACTGAACAGGGTGCTGCTGCACTCATGACCATGGAATTAGACGCAGAACGGGGTCCTCAGGTCCGCATACCTGAAGGCAAGGAGCCTCCAGCGTTCTGCCGTCTTTTCGATGGCCGAATGGTAATCTACTCAGGTAAACGGAATGCTGACTGGGACATCTCTGCAGACACGAAGCCACGTATTCGTCTTTTCCTGGTTCGTGGTGAAGTACCTGCTGAGGATTACCTGTTAGAAGTTCCACCTCAGCTTTCCTCGCTCCGTTCCCAAGGCGTATTTCTGGCCTTGCAATACGCTCCTTTCGAACGCTCAGTACACAAGGCTTGGTTGTGGTGTGGTCAATGCGCTGCACAACCTACCGTGGACACTGGACGTCATATAGTAAACCAGTTGCGTGAAAGATGTCCACCGGAGTTGGCTACCGCCATTCCGAATGTATTTGAAGTGCGTCAAACCGAGGAAAAGCTAGGACCCGGTGAACTGGTCTTCCTCCTGAATACCGAAGATACTCCTTCCTCTTTGATATGTGCTAACCTGGAACGAGCTCAGGGACCACTTGTGATTTGGCACTTGACTGCACCCGCCTTGCAACAGCTAACCATACGACGGTTAAGTTACACTCTTCAGCCCAATGCGACATTGCCCGTCAAGCTACCCGAATTCCAAAGCGCGCAACCGGTCACTGATGTCAGTCCGATTGAAATGGCGAAAATGGTTGCCGAGCGTTTACGAGCCTCGAGTGACGTGGTTGCCCTTGGTCAACAAACAGTCAATGCTCCAGTCAGCTTCCCGTTCCTGCTGAAGGATTTATACGCCGCCCGGCAGCCAGCTCTGTTTCTGGTGCTGTCCGGTACGAAGCATGTCTTCATTTGGCAAGGTTGGTGGAGTCCCAACACTCGACTCAAATCGCAAACTCCTAGCCCCTCTGTCGGATAACAGTTATCGCGACCCTTAGTCGTTTCACAATCCACATCTAATATTGGTCCCTATTCGGACAATTCTCCTGAATGTATCAACGACAGTCTGCTCGATACAGAAGACTTTTAGATCAACCTGGGCGAAGCAGTTTTCTCGAGTACAGGGACTACTGATCACGAACCGAGTGGCTTGTACATTCTTCAGTTATACTCAAGTTTTCGAGGGCGGAGGAATAATGTCAATCAAAGATAGGATACATCAGATGCGCGAGAACAGTGATAAGTGGCGCGACCGTGTACAGTCCGCTCTGGTTGTTGATCAAGACGCAATCACAAACATGGAGCAAAGATATCAATCCCTCGCTTCCAGCGCTCAAGAGTGGCGTAAGCGTGTGGCGGATAAAGATGTATCCAATTTCACTGTCACTGGACAAATGCAGCGGCGTTCGCCAAACCGGTCTCCAGAGCGAAACCCCACTCCACTCAGCCTTGAAGATGCCATAAATTTCCCCCACCGCCCACCAGCTGTGCCTATCGCACGCGCCATGTGTAAAGAAAACCTACCAAGATTTTACGGTCCACGGCAATCTATCGGCAGTTCATCGGTGTTGAACACTGATGTCATGCTGTCGATGATGATGATGATGATGATGGCGTGATCGGAATCAAGTTGTGTGCCCCAGACTAAACGACAGTTCTGAACTGTAGCTCTTCATCGGTGGCTGATGGCCACGTGGTATAACTGGGTCCACGGTTAATTCGCAGTTGGTGGCCGCCTGGTTACGCGGTGCGAATGTTTATGTTGAAAGTTCGTACTTGCCAGAAACAGTTCATGATCAGCATACAACTGAAGGAGTCGATCTCCGTTGTCTGTGCGGTGAGCATTGACTCTGAACCGACCGCCCAAATGTGATTCCAAAGAGCTCAGACGATCAACTTGAGCATTCAAATCGCCTGCGAGGATCACAATGTCAGTGCTTTTTGCCTGACGAATGAGCCCGGCTAGCTCTCGATAGAAAGTGTCCTCCGCATCAGGACTGCGGTCCGTTGGTGCATAAGTCGACACTACAAACAGATACCGCTGTTTATGCTGCGAGGCATTGAGCTTGATTGAGCTAGATAACCGGGTGGCGCAAGGACGACTGTTCATTGGAATCCAATCCGGCAAAGCGCGTTCAGCTCCGGAGTTGGGTGGAACTCCCACGAGTCATCGCTTCTCGATCATAGGACACAGAAGGAGAAATGTGAAAGGGCTGAGTTCGTCCTTGTGTAACCACGCTTGGGCCTTGTGTACGTGCTTCGGAGACACAGCATACATCTACTTTAAGGGAGTATTAGGTTTCAGCGAGCGTTTGCCAATCTAANTAGCTCTCGATAGAAAGTGTCCTCCGCATCAGGACTGCGGTCCGTTGGTGCATAAGTCGACACTACAAACAGATACCGCTGTTTATGCTGCGAGGCATTGAGCTTGATTGAGCTAGATAACCGGGTGGCGCAAGGACGACTGTTCATTGGAATCCAAATCCGGCAAGCGCGTTCAGCTCCGGAGTTGGGTGGAACTCCCACGAGTCATCGCTTCTCGATCATAGGACACAGAAGGAGAAATGTGAAAGGGCTGAGTTCGTCCTTGTGTAACCACGCTTGGGCCTTGTGTACGTGCTTCGGAGACACAGCATACATCTACTTTAAGGGAGTATTAGGTTTCAGCGAGCGTTTGCCAATCTAACATAGAGCACGGATGTTAGAAGCTCCTATACAGAATTAATCTCGGGGAGTTAGAAAGATGTTATTTTTTATTGTCAGTAGACAGCTGGGTGCATAAGCCCATTCGATCAGATAATTGACAGTCACATGACCCAGCAGCGTTTGCTTGTGTGGTGGGAATGGACAACGGTGGACACAGAACTGTGCGGGTAAATGATACTTTCCGGTTGCCGAGGTAGAGGAAGGGGAGTTGGTTGAGGAACCCACCTCAAGCCTTTGAATCAAAAGTTTGACTCACAAGGCCGTCGGAGGATGTGGGGATTAGTTCGGGGATCCTGCGTCTAGCCTCTGACTCAAAAGTGTTATCCACGATATAATGGGAGCACATCACCTGGGTGGTGAAGCTTACACTTCCGGTAGACACGTCAAACGCCCATGAATGAGTATTTGTGAACCGTGATGTTGGGGAAATTGAAGAAGAGCGCATCAGATTGTTTTCAAAATAACCTGGTTGCGTTTTGTGTGTGTGTTCGGAGGCCAGTCGTCCCTAATAACCGAACGTCACCTCATTTGTACGGATGTGTCACGTGCAGGACACGGACCAAACGAAGGCATGCCCTGATTGGTCAGAATGCCAGCCAATCCGGATCGAGTATCTCTGATTCGACGCTTCTTGCCCCCCTCGCGGAGACTGGCACGACCTTGTGGAACACTCTTTGACTGCCCTATAAATACAGTTGTAATAATTTTCTTTTGTCTCCATAATGGGCTATGTGGAGCTATCGTGCCTTTTGATATACCATAATGGGCGGAGCAGGGACCGATACGGAGTTTCACTACCGTTCAGCATCCACAACAGTGTGCGTCATTCGAATGACTTTACTAGGCCAAGGATTCAGTGGCAGGACAATTAGCAATCCAAAAGGTGTTAAGTTTGCAAATTTTATGGTGCCTTTTTCACGCGTGTATCATGAGAATATTATGAAACATTGCGGAACATTACACTACAATCCATATCTAGGTTGATCTAGTCGAAATCAGTAGTGACTCGCATTGCCATTCTTTTCGGTCGGGAGACTAGCCCATTAGATCTATCGAGTTTGGGATGTGTGTTAGCTTGCCAGCCATATTCTCTACTCGATAGGTCCATACATCGCCCATCCTTTAGTCTACTTTCAAACGTTTATCTGTGCAATCTAGTCCATACACAGCGAGATGGCTCAACTGGTTAGAGCGCGAACTTACCGACCGGAAGATTTGTGGTTCGAACCCGGCCTCTGCATTTTGACTCCTGTCTAGGCTTGGGCAACCTGCCTTCGTGCTTCTTTCGGGTGGCGGCTAGGCACCGGAAGGGTGTTGCAGCTGAACGATTTTCTTTTTTCTTCTTTTTTTACTCAGCTAACATCAACACTCGAACAAGCGTTATACACGTCTTCCCATTCCAAGGACGAGATGGATCATCACAATGAGGAGTAGATCACTAATTTTATCCGGTCGTCTTTATTCGCTGTTGTTTTTTTCGGATCAGGCCTGCTCTGCACACCTATCGTTTTCCGCTTTATTACAGCTCGTTCTCTGGCCTCCCTTGTCCCGGGATTTCGCCACTCAGTGCACTTTCTGTATTTCTCGCTACGCACGCTGGCCAGAACGAATTGTATGCGGAAGCTCAGCATTGTGTACTGGGTGCTCTCAACCAACTGTCCAACTTACCAGACGCTAAACAGACTGATCTCCACTTCGTCGCGCTCTTGCTGTCTGCGCTGCTTCAAGATGATTGGTCGATGGTCGCTCAGCTGTGGCCTTTGGAAGATTGGTCTACTGCTGTTGCTGCTCTGGTCAATCACACTTGGGCCCGTAATCGATCGTTATTCAAACATTTGTGTGGTGAGTGAATAGTATTGGCGTCCTACCAGGGGGTTACCCCTTACCAACTTAACAGTCTGCCAAAAGGTGCGCGATAGTGGACTTCTACGGCGGCAGTTAGAGAGCCCATGATGATACTTCAACCACAGGCGAGAATTGGGAGATGATTTGATTCGAGTCGTTCTCATTTCCTCGGTTCATCCCGACTTTCCTGACAATACCTCAGCCCTTCGGGTGGCATAGCACCCATGTACCAAAATGGCGTTGCGACTAAGGGCGACTGAGCACCACGACCGGCCTCGCGCTAACTAATCATGATTTTTTCGGGTGACAACCGTTAACCGACAGGTCCGCTTCAGCTGGCAACCACTCATCTGTTGTCCGTTCGTCTGTGCATCTCGATGTGTCCTTGCTTGAGGTTGAAACTTTTCCGCAGGGCTTTTCCAGACATGTTTCAGTGATTTAGGGACAGTGGGACACCGATGTTCAGCAATTCTGCTTTAGCTATTGATAATGACGGTGAACCAATGATGCGATTCACGGGGCTCCCTTGAATGTCCATAGAGTACAACTAGTGGTACGCGATCTATCGTGCGGTTTTTAAGTAGTCTGCTTTTCACCGGCAGAGAGGCTTGAATTGACCTGTTGAAGAAAGATGAAGAAGTACGGTCGACTTATGTTTCAGAGTCTTTTAATCCAAGAGTGGTCACGTGTCATCTTTCAGCAAACACTTTTGAACCCTTCGAGAATTTTCACCTAAATAGGTTCAGATTTAATGACTTTGTTCGGAGGAATGTGAATTAACTCACAACTAGCTCAAAAGTCTTGATTTTTGTTCACTTTTCGAGCGAGATCCAGCCAGCTGATTTGGTTTGTTTCCTTCTTCAGTAACCCTTATCGATCGACTCCTGGACCGGTCAGATGACTGTACTCTTTCACAAAGAGACAGATGTACTGCTGCCTGGGTTTGTGCCGTCCTCGCCGGAGATATGAACGGAATTGTTCGGGCATGGTATGATTTGAACTCTGTGAATCCAGATGAGCGTCGTGGCGAACAACTTTTGGTACGTCACTTTTTGTTGTATTCATCCTGTATTGACGTCCACGGTATCGAGCGGATCCTGGAAGTGTTGAATTTCTTAGAATTAAACCTAGTCCTAGTACTCATTTAGTACCACGAAAGGAAATTTGCTCGTTCGTTTCCCACGGGAGCCTCGCTTCAGACTTGTCTATCTTCTTTTTCGGTTGTTCAGCCTCTAGCTCTTCAGCTTGTCCTTGTGCAGAAGATCGCCGATACACGAGTGGCTGTGGATCCTACGGCTGGGTCAGGCTTGCCCGCTGTAGCCCAAGTATTCTCATCGATAGCCATGTGGTTGGGTCATATCCACGCTGGTCGTGGTCACGAGGACATCATGGTTGCTTTGCGCCTTCTGCAGCAGTTCACTGTGGGGACACAATTTGCGGATTTCTCGGAAGTGAACGAAACGGCTCATCGGCTGTGGTGTGCTCTGTCTGATGAGCAACGACAACAGTCGGCCTTCAAGTTCACTGCGCCATTTGTCTGTCCATATCAGGTACGCTGATTTTGGCTGATGCCAAATTTGTGGTATTCAACTTTTTGGGTTCCGGTGCCCAACTGCCATGCTACCCTAAGGAAGCGTGAGGGCTGGGATACTGCCAGGTTGCTCAAGCCTAGACAGGGGAAGTCGAGAGGCGGGGGTCGGGTTCGAACCACCGGTCAGTAAATTTGCGCTCTAATCACTTGAGCCATCTCGCGTGTGGATTGTGGCTCTGTTAACCGTTGTTTGCGAACTTTTCACATGTATAAAACCTGACTTGACTGCCTTTGAGCACTCATATGTTGAATGGATGTTTGTCATGGGTGAATATCCACGGCATGCACTTGTCATCAAGAATGCCATTGATAGTGACTGGGGCTATATGTCCACGAAATCTCTTTGAAAACATCCTGGCCTCGCTTAACGTAGCAGCAAGGTTTTACCGTACATCATTTTCGGCGTTGTACCGCAAAAACTGACTTATGCGCTCCGATCACTGCTTGCCGCGCAGGTCAATCGATTGCGATGACAGCTTAATCGGAATACTATCTGTCAAAAGGCTAAAAGCACTTCATGACAAAAGTTGTATGAGCACCTTTGTTTTTTTTCATCAAACGCATCTCTGATTGATTTACTCCTTCCATGTGGTGATCACTGCTGTTCAGCTATAAATCAGTAGTATATCGAAATGTCGCAAGTAGTTTGAATAAGCTTGCCTATCTTTCATTACTTAATCTGAGTGACTGCTTCTACTTAGACCTTGCGTTCCGGTCCACTAGACGAACCTTATGGTTGTACGGCAGTGAAGCGTCAGTGACAACACCCATGCGATGTTCTGGTCCACATTGACAGCATGACCACGTTAGTTCTTCAGTAAACCAACCCCTTTAATGGAGACAACCTCTTGACCAAGATCATATCACCCGGCTTCCCTTTCGAGCGTTCACTTCCAATTGCTCGTATGGCACGACATAAAACGAATTGGTGCACTAGGGGTTACTGTGTTGCGATATCAGTTAGGATCTCGCCAACGACACGAGAGGGAGAATGTCCCCTTCGTAATTAATTGAGGGTCCCAGATCTGTGTTGCACGTGTACAGTCCATTCGCTCTTTCCGCTGGTTATCGATCGCATTTCAAGTGAGGTTATTCCAGATACGTCCCTTGAACCATCTGTCAATGTTTAAGTCCACTGTAGTTGGTCCAAGTGTCAATAAACAGCACTTTCAGTAAGAAACCCCCGGTTTTCTCCCCTGGTGGAACAAATTTTGTTCGCACTACTGTTTTCGCCATGATCTGCTCATGTGGTTCTCATCCACCGTACTGTAGATGATGTTCAACCCTAGTCGATCTCAACCTGAAAGTTGTGTTGTCCAAACAACTGTTCACATCTCGCTTTGAGGCGACTGTTGTAGGTTATTCGTACCATAAAAACTTGAAAACCGACTCGCTCGCTTTGGAGGGACCCGTTACATAGTCGGTCACTAGGCAGTCCACATTCATAAGGATGTGCTTTTGGCGTTTCAACTGCGAATCAGCCCATATTCGTTCAGCTGTAACACCCTTTCGGTGCCTAGCCGCCAAGGAAGCACGAGGGCCGGGATATTGCCAGCCAGGTTGCGAAGCCTAGACAGGGGAAGTCGAGTGGAAGAGGTTGGGCTCGATTCGCGGACCATCTGGTCAGTAAATTCGCGCCCCAACCACTTGAGCCATCTCGCTGTCAACTCATATTTGTACGGTATTTTACAGAAAAACAATATGATGTGACGTTCGTGTTATATCCCAAAACGCGTGGTTGCAATTCCGGAAGTGATAAAAGTCTGTCCGTCAGCTCTCCTGGAATCCGCACACGATACGTTTCTCCACACACGGTAATTGAGAAAAAGACATCTGTGTCTGAAATCAGCGACTTTGATTAATGGAAAAAGGCTTCGTCATCCCAAGTGATCAGATTACTGGGTTGGTCGATGTTCTATCCTTTGATGATGTATCAGTCCGACTCGTCAGCTCACCGGAACGGAATTTGTACTGCAAACAAGTGGGTCTTCGATGATATGGAATTCAACTGAACCAGAAAAGAGCTAACAGTCTAATGGGATATCAATGAGAGGCTGAAATGTAGAAACAAGATTTCAGTGTACAAGATAACTGTTAGCAAAGTGGATTTGTTCGTTTGGAGGCGGTCCTCCTAACAGTCGAGTTTCAAAGCAGACGGGGAAACAATCAGCAAATCCCTTTCGAGTAGCGCACTTGGTCAGTGTTGAATGTCAGCAAAAGGTTCTTGTCGGAGTGTGTGGGTATCGAAGTCGTACGATCGATTCGGTGGGGTTAATGAAAGTCACTTCGATTGAGTTTAAGTCCTTGACTTTCCGGTTGAAGACAATCCAACTTGGTAAATTTTGTTGGTCAGCTTGGATTCGTAAGTTCTACACCAGAGATTACGTGAAATTTCCGGTCAGCTTAGGCTTTGTACTTTAGATCTCACCAACTACTGTTAACCACGCACCACCACATATCAGCCTGACTGATCTGAAACAGCTCCCCACACCCTCAATAGTTTTGTGCTACTCGATGAGGTGCATCGCTTCTGAAAGTTCGCTGTCTGCCCATAGCAATTGTTTGACCACTTCTAAAGAATCCGTTTCCGACACATTCGCATATAGGGAATTAATATCTAAACTTAAAACCGTGTCTTGTGGTCCCAGGTAAAAGTTGGGACTTTCAATCAATTGGAAAGGGTTCGGAACCGATTGAGAAGTCATCGTTTCAGGAGGGCTTGGTAAACAATGAGTAGTTTTT